TATCTAAACCATTTGGTCAGGTGTGGAGGATGGCGGGCCCCTTCCTCTGCTCTCAGGATAAAATCGGCATTGGCTGGACCAATCTCTGTGGCGCCATTCCTCATTGGTCTAGGGCTGAGAATGATTGTTTTTTGCCAATGGAGTTTTTAGCAAAGCTACTGGGTTCCAGTGAGTAAGACTTTCCTGACTCATAAGTGATAGAAAGACAAGAAGAAAACTTCTCCTTTCGTCCTTACATACCACATGTGTCTGCTTTTTCAGGGAGGGACTGAGACTAGTCTGTGTCACTAAACCAGTTTCCTCTGCTGCCCGCTCTGTCAGCGTTCCCTATCTCCTTTGAGGGTCAGTGTGGATGTGGCTGAGGTCTGGTCATGTTGGGGGCACAGAAAATGCATGCTCCCAAGTTCTCAGGATGTCGATGCCAGCCTGAAAATGGAGTCTGGGATTCTGGCTGTCAGGTGAGCACCTGCCCAGACCTTACCCAGTGTAAGATTTCACAGTGTGCAGTTATGGGGGGGTGGCTGGTGTTCCCTTGTGGGAATTTAATACCCATGCAAGCAGCGTGGGAACAAACTGCAGGGACAGACTTGTCTGTGTGGCTGGGGGTCACAAGACACTGGAGTTAAGCCTCAAGGAAACAAGCATTTCAGGCAGAGAAATCACTAAGGTTTTTTTTCACTGTGTGAAAAGGGAGGCCTGTGCAGGAATTGTGCACGTGTGTGTCGTAACCAGATGCACCGATGTGCAAGGTGAGAGTCGACAGAGGAAAACGCTGGGTGCACCCTAGCACTGCAGCCGTGGGGAGGCACTTGGGCAGCGTAGAGGAGCTTCTGCGGGTGGGGATGGAGATCGGGCTGTGTCCCCCAGATCCTAAAACTGTTGAGCACGTCACAGAGTCTCAGCAGGTGCCTGGCCACTAACCTCTCTTCATTAAGAGCCAGGCATGCACCAGAGTGAGGAGACTGAGGGACTCTGGTAAATTCAAACTTCACGTGAGATTCAGAAAAAAGAAGAGAGTGATATTTAGAGACACACGAGCTTAAATGCTGACAAGACATACTTGATAACTTTATGAGTCATTGTGGTTTCCGAACACCCAGGACTGCAGAATACCAAGACGCGCACTCACTACATAGGCGCCTTCCCAGGGAGTGCTGCTCCCCATACACTGTCTCCAGCCTCTGGATAAAAGATGAGTCTTCTCCCCCCAGAGGAACAATGTCCTACCAGTGGGGTTTGTGTACTGGCCAAAGATGAGCAGCATGCAAATTATCAACAGGACTAATAGTTGGTCACGAACCAGATATTAGAGAATCTTTTATTAAAGTACTCTGTAAATAGTTCATTTTGGTTTGTTTTTTTGAGACAGGGTCTTACTATATAGTTTAAGCCGCCACTGAACTCACTATGTATTCCAGGCTGGCTTCAAACTCACAGCAATCCTCCTGCCTCAGCCTCCCAAGTGCTGGGATTACAGGTATGCACCACCACACCCAGCTTGTTTTGGTTTTTTGAGACAGGGTCTTGCAATGTAGTTCAGCCTTGAACTCATTATGGAGCCAAGGCTGGCCTCAAACTCATGGCAATCCTCCTGCCTCAGCCTCCCCAGTGCTGGGATTATAGGAATGTGCCACCATGCCTGGCTATCAGTAAATATTTTAAAATAAGAAATGTTTTGCACTGTACTTGTATAACAAGATATTGAAAGCTCTAGTCTGGGAGTAACAAATGCCTTCAGCAAGAGAAAGAAATAAAAGGGTTATGTACAAGAAAGAAAGAATTCACACTATCCATATTTGCAGATGACACGATCCTTTACACACAAGACTCATGAAATTCCATCAAAAGAACTAATAAACAAATTCAGCAAGGTACCATGATACATAAATCACACCAAATTCAATAGCATTTCTGTACACCAATAATGAGCCCACTGAGAAAGAAATTAGGAAAACAATACCATTTGCAATAACATCAAGAAAAATGAAATGGTTAGGAATTAATCTAGTAAAGTGAAAGACCAGGAAAAAAAATGAAAAAAAAATTCCACTCCTGAAAAAGGAGATAGATCTTTTCGTTTTCATCAGAAAATGAAAAGATATTTTCTGCTCTTGGATAGGTAGAACAAATATTGTCAAAATGGCCACATTATCAAAAGTGACATATAAGCTGGGGATTTAGCTCAGTGGTATCGTGCCTGCCTCACAAGCGCAAGGTCCTGAGTTCAATCCCTGGTACCAAAAAAAAAAAAAGTGACATATAGATTTAATGCAATCCCAACAAAAATACCAACAACATTCCTCACAGAACCAGAAAAAATAAACCTAAAATTCATATAGAAGAGATCCAGAATAGCAAAAGTAATCTTGGGCAACAAGAGCAAAGCAGGAAATATCACAATCCAGAATTTCCAGTTATATTACAAAGCTACAATAAAAAGAACAGCATGGTATTGGCACAAAAAGAGACATGAGGATCAGTGGAACAGAATAGAGGATGCCCAAACTGATCTTTGAGAAAGAGGCCAAATCATGCCCCAGAGGAAAGACAGCATTTTTAATAAATGTTGCTGGGAAAACTGGCTATCCACATGGAGAAGACTGAATCTAGACCCATATCTCTCACCATGTGTGAAACTGAAAACCATAATGAAAATCTAAATGATTTAGATTTTTGAAACAATCTGCTGGAGGATAAAATAAGTAAAACTCTTGGACAACAGAGGTGTAGGCAAGGACTTTCTGAACAGAACCCCAATTGGACAAGAAATAACATCAAGAATCAACAAATGGGATCACATCAAATTGAAAAGTTTCTGCACCATAAAGGAAAAAAAAACCAATAAAGAGAAATCTACAGAAGGGGAAATTTTTTTTGCTGGCCACTCCTCAGACAGAGGACTAATATCTAGAATTAGTAAGGTACTCAAAAAGTTAGATCCCCCCAAATAAAAGACCCAATCAAATAATGGGCAACTGAAATGAATAGTTACTTCTCTAAAGAAGTACAAAAGGCCAATAAATACATGAAAACACGCTCAATATCTCTGGGCATTAGAGAAATGCAGATTAAAACCCCATTGAGATTCCAGCTTATTCAAGAACGAACACCTATCATCAAGAAATCAACTAATATTAAATACTGGCAAGGCTTCAGGGAAAGGACGCTGCAGTGTTGGTGGGAATATAAACTAATACAACCACTAGGGAAGTCAGTATGGAGATTCCTCAAAGAACTGAAACTAGAAATTCTGTTCAAACCAGCTAGGTATCTTCCTGAAAGGGTAAAGACATCATATTACAGTGATTCATGCACACCTAGGCTTACAGCGAGCAGCACAACTCATAATAAGTAAACCTGGGAAGTGGCCTATATATCCATCAACAGATGAATGGACAACAAAAATGTAGTATTTTCCAAAATGTAATACAACTCTGCCATAGAGAAGGATAAAATTGAGTCATTTGTAGGAAAATGGGTGCAAAGTGAGAAAATAATGTTAAATCAAATAAATCTGACACACAAGCTTAAATATGAATGATTTCTCTGAGAAACCCAAAGTATAAATTTAATGAGCAAAATAAAAGATGGATAATAGAAAACAGCGATAAATAGATTCTTTTTGTGAATGAGAAGTGGAGGGAAGGGAGGAGATGGAGACCTAAAAAGAATTAAGATGTATCACATATGTGTACCAACTACCCACGATGAATGTAAACGTTATGTAATGGAAATACGTGCCAATAAAAATTTTAAACAATTTTTTTAAAAAACAAGGCTTTTATGTTGACAAGACATGTTCGCTACCTTCACAAGGTTATTAAAGCCGCTCTAGAGCTTATTATAACTGTGGTTTCCTAACACCCAAGCCACAGCAAGGCAGAGAACACCCCCTCACTACACAGGTGCTCACTCCGGGAGCTCCACTTCCCAAACTCTGTCCCAGGCTTTGGAGGACAGAGATGTGAGTGCTTTTCCCCCAGAGGGAAACCCGTTCTACCAGCGGGCTCTGCACACTGACCAAGTTATCAACAGCATACGCGTTATCAACAGGGTCAACACGCAGCTGGTCACAGGCCAGCATCTGAGAGCCTTCTGTTACAGTTTCTGCACAAGTTTTGATCTGAAGGCCTGTTACACACTCCACTTGGGGAGGGGGAATTTCAGGGGTCCAGCCTGCGACACCACAGTTCCGAAGCCTGGCACTGGTTCCGCCTGGGCCTTCCCGGGAACCGGCAGGGAGACACCTCTCCTCGCCTTACCTTGGAAACCCAACCCACGTCACCTGCTTGCTGGGCCCCAATTTTACATCTAGGCCTCTGGCCCAGGGAAGTGCGCCTGAGCATGTCTGAGCTTTCCGGGAAGACATCCCAGGAGCAGGTAGGAAGGGAGGAGGCCCAAGTTTCACCTCAGTGCAGCAGCCGGGGATCGGGGATCGAGGCCTCTCGGAGGGCAGACGGGAGTGAGTGTGTGCGTGAGGGTGTGCGTGCGTGTCCCCGACTCTGCTCCACCCCTACAGTGCCTCTGCGAAGGGTCTGAAAAGTCCTAACCCGCAGCCCGCCGGCTTAGCATCCTGCAGACTTCAGGCGCAGACAACTCACGCGAGCCTGGGGCGCCGAGCTCAGGGTTGGGCACCGCCCGCGCCCGAGCGCCAGGCCCGGGGGCGGTGTGGCCATCCTTGGGTCTGCCCTCCTGGGTAGAAACCCTGCAGCCTAATGCACACCCCGTGTCCTGTCCGGGCGGGAGGGCTCTTGTCTCGGGGACACGCGCTGGCCAGCAGGAACAGCCCGGAACCCGGCAACCCAGGCTCGGTGGGTCCCAGTCAGGCGCTGCCCTGGTCCAGAGCCCGGCGGCTACACGGGTCGGGAAGGAGGCAGAAGCGAGCAAGGAAAGCAGCGGCCCGCGCGGCTCACTGCAAACATGCGCCCGTGCTCGCACCCACGCGTGCGCACTCGGCGCCGGCCTCCTCCGGGTGTCGCCCCGGGGTCCCCGTCACTCACCGGCGGCGCCCGCGGGCGGATCTCGTGGAGCCCGGGCCCCCGAGCCTCACCCCGGGGAGCCAGCCTCGTGGACGCGGAGCCTGCAGGCCGGATCGCCGCCTCTCAGTCCCTCTTCCCACGGGCGCCGCCCACGCAGGGCCTCTTCGGGTGACAAACGGCGCCACACGTGTGGCGCAGCTTTTATGCCTCCTTCCACAGGCGCCTTTCCCCGTATCGTTTTGGATTTTAATCCTGCATCCGCGGAGGAGTCTTCCCCGCGGAGTCCTCGCTTGTTTGCAGCGCCCTTCCCTTGGCGTTTACCCTCGGCGGCGTGCGTGTGTGTGACGTGAGTTGTGAGTGGTGTGAGCGTGAGTGGCTGTGTTGTGAGCGCGCGCCTCACCTGTGGCACTCCGTGGGGTGAGGCGGGCGCCCGTCGGATCCTGCTGGCGGCTCGGTCTCCCCTGGAGCAGTTCCCCACCCTGCCCACCGCCGCCTGGTCGGTCCTCCCTCCTGAGCTGCCCAGGCTCTGTGTAGCACTCTCCCCAGCTCTGCAGCGATTGCTTCCCAAACCGAACGCAGCCTCTGCTAAAGCCTGCAGAAACTTCTCGTCATACCGCGCTTCCCCGTACCACATTAAACTTTTTCCTTTTCTTCCAGTCATGTGCTGTCAATGGATACAGCACCTGATTTAACGTGAGTTTGGACACATGGCATTTGGGGGCTGGATTCTGCTTTGTTTTCATTGCTTGTAATGTTTAGAATGCTGTATACTTAGCTCTATGCAAATTGACTCTGGACATCTGTTGAGGTTAAATTCGTTTTGTAGAATTCATAGTATGTTTCTTTGAATTCATTCATGTATAGCCATGTATCTCAGTGTGCTTCATTCTACTCACAGAACAAAATACTTCATGATATTCTTACAGGCTTCAGTATCCCTCCCATTAATGCATTAGGTAAGAAGTTACAGGTTTTGATCATGAGACAACAGAAGATACCCAAGTCACTTAGCCCAGCTCCCTCATTTCATAAACTAGAACCCAAAATCCAGGTCACAGATCAAGCCATCTGCCTTCTAGCTGTGCAGTGCCTGGCCCAGAACCCGAAAGCAAATCTTACAGTCAGTGGGTGCTCAGCAAAGCTTGTCAAAATATCCTTTGCTCTGAATTTTAACTCACACCTGCCAACTGCAGAATATTCTTTTCCTACACTAAATGTTACCCTGTCACGGGCCATTTCAAAATTCTCACGAATCTGAAGGCGCTAGATGAAAAAGCGGAGAAGAAACTCTTCATTATTAAGTAGCTAAATGGATGTCATGCCACTTGGTTTCGTGAGGTGGCCAAAAATCAGCAGCAAGCATAAAACCCTAAAACTGAAATTAAAAAGGAAAACTTCTAACATTATAGATTTATCATCCATTTAACCTTTTTCTTTCCTGTTAGATGATTTATTTATCTGGTGCCTATTTCCAAATTTGGTGTCCTCTGTTCTATTATCCTAGAATTAAAAGAATCACACCACAGTGATATATGTGCACCCATGTTTATAGCAGCACACTTTGTAATAGCTAAAACTTGGAAGCAGCCCAGTTGCCCATCAACTGGAGACTAGATAAAGAAAATGTGGTTTTTTTATACAATGGAGTACTACTCAGCCATAAAGAATGAGAAGTTAGAGACATTTATAGCTAAATGGATGCACATTGAGGTGATACTCTTAAGTGAAATAAATAGGACACACATGGGTAAATACCGAATAGTTTCTCTAGTGTGAGAAACAAAGTGTAAGTAAGGACTAAAAGGTATAACAGATAATGTGAAATATGAAGAAAAGGGGCAAAGGGGAAGTGGGAGGGGTAGGGGAAAGAAGGGAATGGAATTAATATGAGAATGAAAAAATGGAAACAAAGTCTTTGTAAATAGAGAGGAATGGAGGGGTTGAAGGGAGGGCAGGGGAATGGGGAAAATATAAGAACCAAGAGAGATTATGTAAAGGTGCAAATTTCCAATGATGAATGTCATATTTTATACCTAAAATGTACCAATAAATTTTTTCTTTGAGGAAAAAAAGAAATCTGTACTTAATCTAAAAAAAAAAAAAAAGGGGCTGGGGATTTAGCTCAGTGGTTCCGCCACCTGCCTTGCAAGCCTGAGGTCCAGAGTTTGATCCCTGGTACCAAAAAAAAAAAAAAATAAATAAATAAATAAAAACCTCTCAAACTGACAAACTAGCAGCTAAGCTTAACTATGTATTTCTTAGGCACATGCTAGATATAATCACTCACTTGAATGAACATTAGTTAGCTGAAGAACACTGCACTTAGTATGCAATAACATCCATAATGTATAAATATGTTTTTCTTTTACATAACATCAAAAATACAGTTCTGAATTTAAACTCCTTTAATTGTTATTGAATCCAAACTCCTTCCTACTGTTGGTGTTCATTTATAATGGTATAAAAATTTTAAATTAGGCTCCACATACAGTATAGGACAGTGCAGAATTGCACAAAAACATTTAGTAGCTGGGAGATAGAAGGAAACAAATTAGTACTTTTTTCCTTTAAAAAAATCCTTTTCATAGTCTCATTTTAATTTCATATGTTGCTATAGACAGTTTGCATCCCAAATTCAGGTGCTGAGACCCTAACCGCCCACGTGATGGCCCTGGGAGGTGATGAGGCCAGAGGCAGGGCCCCCCTGATGGGGACAGGGGTTCCTCACAAAGACATGAGAGCGCTTGTGTCGCTGTGCTCCTCTTGCTGTGGGAGCCATGGCGGGTGACCATCCGCACACCGAGTCACCCAACACCAACCTGCCCGCAGTGAGCATGGTGTTGCCCGCCTGCAGACGGCGAGACACAGTTTGCTGTCTGAGCTGTGCAGCTCTCTAATTTTTACAGCAGCTTGAACTAAGTCAGACGCTTACCAACTGAGGTTTACTGTAAAACAACTCTCTTGCAACAATTTTAATACTTTTTCTTTGATTTACTTAGCATGATTTCAGGAGAGATTGCAAAGGGATGAATGTATTTAAAGACCCAGCCTCTGAGTAGTCATCACAGGAGCGAGAACCTCTCGGGCTTTCTTCACGTCCAGGTGCGCGGTGGTTACAGGAAGGGCTTGCCTTGCAGCAGGGGCGCCCTGTGGTCACAGGCTCCAGCCGCCGTCGATGACCATTGGGTGGCCGGTCATGTAGGCCGACTGCAGGGGTGAGCACAAGGAGACACCGTCAACCGGGGGGACACAGGCTGGGGGGCTGGGACAGCTGGACAACTGACTCTCACCCTAGCAGGAAACTGAACTTACAGATGGAATTTAGGGGACTCCAAATTAAATTTCAGATGCCTTGGAACTGCTACGTGTCCCTGTGATCTGAGATAGAGGGCCTCTGGCTGGCATTTGGGCACAGGCACCTTCTAAGCAGGCTCAGAGAGGCCACTGGTTTCAGAATCACAAAACTAGTGATTCGTAGCCATTCCCCAAATTAGGGTAAAGTAGAGTCCAAAATAGCACATTTTCACTTCCAGCCAAGTTTTTAGGCCACTGCTAAACTCTTCAATATATCAGTCACAAAAGAACCATGATGACAACCAAGTAGTTTTTAAAAACAGGATATAGTTTGTTGATCAATATACACAGATTAATTCCAGGAGCCAAAGTGGATGAAGTGTGTTTTAAAAATTTACACAAGCAATAATTATTATCACCTCGGAAATAATGTTCTATACTAGGCTCAGACAGGCAAATCTATCTAAAACTGCAGGATCATAAAAATAATCACTGGTTTATATTCACAAAACGTTTCATTTTGCAAAGCACTAAACCCGAAGTGATCCTTGAAGAAGATAACAAATATTTTAACTTAAAATGGACAATAAAGTCTCTACTTTGTATTCTTAGTTTTACTTTGATCTAGAGTTTGAAATAATGGAAGGAGCAGAAGGAAAGACGTTATGAGTGCAGACACTGTAAGAGCTCAGTATATAAAAACTGATCATATAAATTAGAAAAGCTAGGGATTATTAGTCACCTTACCAAAGAAATGGCCCTGACTTTCCCAAGCTGTTTCAAAAGCCAAGCTCTCTTATGCACACGAATAGCTCCGGCTCCTCTAAGAAGCCACAAGTCCTTTTGTTGCCTGTTTCAGGCCACACATTTGCAGCTGGTTGGCAGTCCAAGGGTCTACAGCTCAGCACCACAACTTCCGAACCAAGACTCTTCTGAGGCCGTGGACTCCAGAGCAGACACGCAGCTGATCTGCTTACTCCATGAGTAATTAGCCTAGCGGTGTCCTCAGCCATCAACAGCCGCATTTCTGAGCAGCTCTGGCTCTGGGAGCTGTGGCATTCTCCAGCCACCTGCTGTGCACCACGTGCCATAAGGAGGATGTGAGACCCTGCCCTTACTGTGATGGTGCGGAAGGGGGGACTCTGGGGAGGTAGCGAGGCCACAGCTCCTCACGCCCACCCCTCCCTTTACCTTCTCTCTTCTATGCTCACGTCCCCTGTTAATTGATATTCAGCGACAGAAACCGGAAGGGGGTGTTTAGAGCCCTGACCTCGGAACATGGCTTTTGCTTTCCCAGTGGGTGTCCTTCTAAAAGCACACAGGCCATTAAGGAAGAATCTGGTTGCCAGTAAGAGGCAAAGTGGAAAGGTGCAATTAGTAATTTCCACACATGCTGACAAACAGAGGAAAAAACAGCCAGTAGAGTTCTCCCGAACACGTCACCAGGAAAACTGAAACACGTGCGCCAGTCTGCTCTCCTGAGCTCAGTGGGGTCCAGGTCACCTGAAGCTCTCCAGCTCCTTGTAGGCTGTTAGACTAGCATTTAGTCAGGGTCTTTGCATTTGTAATTTTTTTTTTTTGGTACCAGGGATCGAACTCGGGTCCTTGCGCTAGCAAGGCAGGAGGCGGAACGATTGAGCTAAATCCCCAGCCCATGCATTTGTAATTTTTAAATGCAACAGCCTCTCAGGAAATTGAATGCTTCAATTGTTTTCGACCCTTCATTTTGTTTGCTATAAGATTTTGAGATATTTAAAGTTCAGCGAGGAGGAGTCAGTGCTTGGATCAGTGTGGCCTTTCTTTGTGGGAATGAGACTGGAAAACACCCCGCCCTGAGGAGCGCCACCCTAGCGCATCCCTGCAGCTGACTCTCTACGGTGACCGCACCGCAGTCTGGAGGGACCAGGACAGAGGGCTCTGGGAGGAACGGCGCTCACCTCCTCGGAAGCCAGGTACACACAGAGCAGGGCCACTTCCTCTGCGGTCGCAAATCTCCCTGTCTTCTGTCTCTTCAGGAAATCCTTCAGGGCCTGAGACCGAGACCCCTCCGCACGTCAGGGCCAGGAAGTGTGCAGTTCAGTGGTGTTCAGCACACACACTTGTGCCACCGCCACCACACCCAGCCCAAACTGTGTGATGCTCTGTGCCCACCAGGCAGTCCCTCCCTCCCCTCCCGCCCCCGGGGGTCACTACTCTACTTCCTGTCACCCTGGGGAAGGAGGACATTGTCTAACCAACAGCTTACAGACAGTTAAGAGGCTCCGTATACCTCCTGAGGATCCTCTCTGGCTTGGATTCTTTCCTGCAGAGAGGGGGTATCCACCGTCCCTAAATCAAAGGGGGACGTGTAGCTTGGTTACTTATTAAACCGAAAAATAATGGATAGCTAAACGTTACACTTCCTTCTGTACAACACGACAATCATCAAAAGCCTTCTCCTTTGGAATGACAATTTCACCTCTCCTTGCCTGACCTAGAGTAGCTTTGTAACTGCTTTCACAACATGACTATGATTTTTAAAACACGGGCTAGGATTCTCTGTGACACCGAGACAACAGATGCTCCCCAGGAAATACTTTTTATTTTTCCTTCTGTCGCTGCTCCAAACACCTTGCAGCTGGCCACAGACGCGTGGGATGCTCCGAGCTGCTCCTGGAGAGGTATTTGCTTCAGCTGCGGCAAGCTTCAGGCACAGACACACCCCAGAGGACTCTGCCCACAGCCCCCCAGGATGCTGGGTGCTCAGCCAGGTCTGTGAGGAGCCCCACCCCATCTGTGAGCAGACTGGAAGTCAGGCATTGCATGCACAGGCTCACCTTCTCCCTGCATCAGCAACCTGTTCACACCCAAGGTGTACTAGGCCATGTGACCCGCAGTCACACTGTTCCCTTCATGCTGTAGCCCAGCCCTGATAACGCCTCTCTTGCACGGCATATTTTTACCTGTTTGTGATTTCTGTCTCAAGCAGAACATGCTGAGCTGGTGCACTAAGAGCTTGCGACATCAGAGGCTCCAGTGTTAAACCAACTAGCAGGCAGGGCTGGGACACAGAGCAGCTGGAAGCCAGAGAACAACAGACAGCGAGTTGCCAGGAACTGCCACCGTGGTGCTGTGAGAGTCCCAAAGCTGTCAGTAGCTGCTTACTCTGAGCAGCAAAAAGGCTGCTGACACTAAGGGTTAACAGCCACTGGCACCCAAAGCTGAGAGCTGTAAATGCTAAGAGATACACTTCGCCAGTTTTTGATTTTTATACAAATTGAGCAGAAGAACCCTCCACCAGTTGGTGACATCTTGGTGACCCACACGGGGACCATTCCCTTTAGAGGTCCCTGAAGAAACAGGCAGACAATGGTGGTGGTCAGCAGCAAGGGAGAAGCAAGTGACGCACTGGGCCTCTGACGTTATTCCATCGCACACACAGCTGAGACATGAGCTGGTGACACCCTAAGTGGGGTTCCCAGGGAGTCACGCAGCCTTCTCTGGGACATTCATTTTAGTCACATTGCATTTACATGATGACTGATGGATCCTAAGGACTTTAATATGTATGATCTCAGAGAATCCTCTCAACAACCCCAGGACATAGATAAAACCACACAAGCACTTTGCCAGTCCAAGATCCAGCTTGATTCAGTCCTCTCAGACTTATTGGTGCCAGCTTCACTGTGGGGACTCCCCGGGGACAATTCCAGAGTGGCCTCAGCCCTTGGGAACTTAGGTGACTATATTTTCCTCATCACATTGCCTCTTTTCATTGGTTTCAAATCCCAGTTTTTAATCACAGTTTTAGTTTCTAATAAAAAATATATTTTAAAATTGTTTTATGTTAAAATAGGAAAGTAAGAATGACACTGAAGATTTAAAATGGCACCTGGTCCACACGCCTCTGCAGCAGGTTCTGCAGACAGGTTCGTTACTCATGTGACCTGCAGTTCTCCCGAGGGGACCACAGAGCCTTGTGATCTTTCTCAGGCTGTGACAAATGGTTTCCACGCACACCCTCAGCTCCTCCTTCAGACCCTGCTCCTGAGAAAGCCGCAGACCGGACATTTCTGCCTTTACATTCCTGCAGGAGCAAGATTAGGAATCCCGTTCCCAGTATTTTCCTCACTTGGTCAGCTGCCTCCCTGGAATCCCAGAATTCACCAACAGTGTGCACTCAGCCTGCAGAACGCTCTCCTCAGCACCCACACTGCGTTACTCGGTGCCTCTTCTAGCTGAGGGACCAGCATCGCCTCCCACACAAGGCAGCCACTGTCAGCTCTTCTGGGACACCACTGTTGCCGTCAGATTAATCTGGGGCCACTGGGCTCAGCTGTGTCCATGGCACCGCCCAGCACATGGGGCACAGCGGACATGCGACTGGCAGGAAGTGTGTGACACGGAGCCACCTGCGCCCCGCCAGACACACTGTTCCTCCTCGGCCCTGTTCTCTGGCTGGCACCGTGAATCACAGCCAGTTCCTTGTTCCACAGAGCTTGAGCACATCTTTTCCAATCTTATGAAAAAGCCAGCTGCTGAATCAACCACATTTTCCAAATCGTTTTGCCACTTATTCCACTGGGCAAACGGCACCAAGAATAGCCAGACGCAAGCAACACCAGTGTGTGCTGCAAACCCCAGGTCACCGTTTCCTGGTCACCGCATCCACTCCTTCCCCAGAAGGAGGGCCTCACAGGTCACACTGCTCCAAAACTTCCAGGCCCAGCTGGGAGCTGCTGAAAACTCTGATTCCGTCTCTGCAGTCTCTCTCTTCAGAGGGCGTTAGGAGCCCTCAGCCAGCACTCATTTCAGATCGGTGGGACCAGGTAAAAGGGCACAATGATCTCGCAGACACACCCATGGGCACCAACACAATGAAAACTCTGTCCTTCTTTCCTTTAGAGGAGGACTCAGTGCATCTGAGTACAGAGAAGGAGAGCGAGCATGTTGGCTCTGAGAGCCTCTGATCGCCTGCACCACTCGCTCTGTCCCTGCAGCATGAAAACAGCGGCCCCGGTGTGTTCATGTCCCCAAAGAGCGCACCTGCCCAGCACTCAGGTAGAAAGCGAAGGCCTCTTTTTGGCCTAGGAGCCATCCCAGGGACCCCATGGCTCTGCAGACCCTGGGTTCTGTGAGGCTCTGCTCGCTTTCTCCCTGCTGTGTGACATGGTCTCCTCTTTCCGTGATGAGGTCACAGGACCTTTCCACTTGCTCCTGAGTTGTCCCACAGGCTTGATGACACCTGCACTCTGCCCCTGTGGCTCATGGCTACTGGCGTGGGCTCTCCGCCGGTCCTAACTTACACCTGGGAGGGTCTTGTGGGAACCCGAACCCCCGACAACAGGACACACCTAACCTTCTGTGCATGGGGTCCTGCGGCGCCCACTCACCTGGACACACGCAGTTGCACCTGATGCCCTGCTGGATGAAGTCCGCGGCCACCGACTTCGTGAGGCCGATCACGGCCGCCTTGGTGGTGCTGTACACGCAGCGGTTCACCACGCCTGGGGTCGGGGAGGAAGCAGAGACGGGGCCCTTCCGTGACTCCCGGGCCATGTGCGTGCTTCTGCCACCCTCCTGCTCTGTGCCTCCCTTACTAGGTCTGTCTCTGCATCTAGCAAAACAGTATCAGCAGCGGCTCGATGTAGCGAGCTGAGTGCCGCGACAGCACCCACTGAGCAGCAGTCTGGCTCCCCACCAGTCAGTAAACCCTGTAGGGAGCCCCCCGCGGAAAATAAGGGCGGGAAAGAAACAGAGCCAAGGAGAAACACCCGTACGCGTCACTCCCTGCTAACCTGTGCACCGCGTTAGACTAGCCGCGTCACCTCCGCGGCGATTTCCTCTTTCCACTCACAAACCCGCCCGCCGGGCTGTGGCGTCCGTCCTGTCCTGTCCTGTCCTGCCCTCACGGTGACCTCTCTCCCGCCCCCAAGCCACAGCGATGCAATGCGCTGGCTCAAGCCTCTCCCACCGTGTCATCACGCTGCACCAGTCTGTCCCTTTTGGACGACCAATTCCTACTACGTGCTCGACACGTCATTGCGGATTAATTAAATGACAAAGCTTGCCCTCCCCTACTCCGCATTCATGTCCATTAGAGGGAATAAAAGGGGAGGCAAAGGAAACAGAATTTTGTTTAATTTTATGATGGGCTCACATCCATAGCAAGGGGTCTGATGGCTAAGGAACTTAGTACAATTTTTCAAAAAGCGGTTTTGAAATTATAGATGGGTTCTATGATCTGGGCTGTGCTTATTCTCAAAGCACAGCTCTCAGTGGTTGTGTGTGTGTGCGCGCGTACGTGTGTGCCTGTGTCTGAGAGGAGACTGTGCCCACCTTTGATGCTGGAGGCCACTGAGGACATGTTGATAATGTTGCCAGACTTCTGAGCCAGCATCTGGAGACAAAACAAATACAGAAGGCATCCACTCTGCAGCGCTTCCTGAACCACCCGCTTCCGAATCCTCCCCTCCGCCTGTGGTTTGTGGACCACCTGGCATCCCATTGGCTGTTAACAGTGCAGCCGGGCGCTGGCGCTGTGCAGTGTACACATTCAGCGGCCTTCCCACGCGGTGTCACCTTGGCTGTGGGACAAGAGCATCAGGGCGACTGGAAGGAATCCTGAGCTAAACGAACATCCGTGTGAGTGCCTCATGCTGCAAAACTGTTAGTGCATTGCACATGTATTTACTGAGCATGTGCAAGGAATTGTGCAAGGTCCAGCAGATTCAAAGACCCACAGAGCCCCCATGCACAGAGGCCCCTGCCCCTTCCGGGCCATCTCCTTCCCAGCATCAGCTTAGCACCAGCTATCAGGGCGTAAGGCTCCCCAGGTCTCCATTCATGTCCCCCTCAGGCAGGGACAACTATAGAGCAAGATGCCACACACTACAATGCTGAATGTCCCGGAAACGCCAGTGCAGGCAGAAAGTCCCCCGAAGAGCCCCTCTAGCTGTATCTAGTTAGTCCTACTCTGCCCAGGCCTCCTGCCTCCATTGGCTAGAGCTCAGCTCCCAGCCTTGGCAGATCTTGGCACTTCCGTCTCGTCCAGTGCCTGACCACCTGCACGGACAATCACGGTGAACGTATTCACTCAACAAAAGTTCCTGTGCTAATGACTCTCCTAAGACGCAGCAAGGGGAGCAAGCAAGCAAGCAAGCAACCCAAACAACAAAGCCATCCTCCACTTTCGGCCCTCAAGGGTCTTTCCACCTGGTGGACTTTGCTTCTGCACTGCCCTCTTTTCATAGTATTTTCAACTTGTTCTCTGCCTTTCGACTGATCTTCCAGTCCTGCAGTGACTTCCTGTGCATCTACACACAAGCATAAAACATCTTCAAATGTCCTGTGCGTGGCCAACCTCACATGTCACCGTGGGTCCCCTCCACAGCTCCAGCCTGGTGTGTGTCATTGTTAATCACATGCAAGGGACCCTAGGAAACCAGGGCTGGAAGTGACTGTGCCGTCTACCACCCCTGCTATAAACACTGAGAGAGAACCTGAGCATGCCCCAGGGCCCTGGCTAATTTGGGATGGACCCAGATGTGTCCTGGACTTTTGATGCCAGAGTCCACGATCCGGAGCCCAGTTAGTCACACTTCTCGTGAGGCACGGAATCCTTCTGCTTCCATACCCCGGTCACGAATATCTCTGCCATTTCACAGATGGGTGTCACTGCCTCCAATGGACATTGTTTAATGTAGTCGGAGGCAAGCACACTAATTCACAAGTTGCCATCAATACATTTAAAAAGTTAACACAAGTTTAAACTTCAGCCTCTCTGTACTGCACGCCTACTTCCTTGACTACTGTTTGGGACGCACTTCAGACTTGCAGCAGGTGAGTCCCTTACGTGTGTGACAGCCCTCCCTGGGGTGACCTAAGCTCTCCCCTCTTTCCAGGGCCTCTACTCCACCCCCATATCCTGCCTTCAAAGAATGCATTCAAGTTCCAAACACATTAGATTCTCATAAGCTCCAAATAGGGCAAAAAACTAACTTGCATATAAAAAAATTGCTAGTTCAGGATCCCCTGGGACACCCACAGATCCTTCCAGGCACGAAACAAGGTTAAAAACCCTCTTCGTTACCAGATCAGTGCTCATCTCCCCGTCAATGGCTGAATATCCTGAGCAAAGGATCCGCTAGCTCCACTGTGCCATCAGCAAAGCTCTCCTTGAGGCCTGGCTCGGCGGCATTAAGAGCCGCTGATCTCCTAATCAAGCTTTGGTGGAGGGAAGCCTCCCTTCTGCAGTTCACGGGTGCTTGGCTCTGACCTGGAGCAGGGCCGGTGCTGGGCTCACCCAGAGAGGAGCCCAGGACATGAGTCCCGAAAGCCTGTGACCAGACACTGTGGCTCTTCGTGTGACCCTCGGCAGGTTCCCTACCTCTTTGCATCACCTCTGTGGAGCCAGAGGATGTGATAAAGCAGGACCGGTTGGGAGGGATTAGGCTGCCCCTGCTTAGGACATATTCCTTCCAGGTGTAAGCTGGGAGGTTAAATGACTTGTCACTAAAGGCCGAGATGTGTGTGGCAGGCACACCCACCACGCTGTTGGCTGCTGTCACTTCCAGCACACTCGTGTCCTTTCTGGGTGCCCAGGGTGGAGCCGTCCGTGTGCTGCCCACATTGGAGGCCACCTCACCTTGGGCAGGAACGCCTTGATCATCAGGAACATGCTGCGCACGTTGAGGTTCATTGAGAAGTCCCAGTCCGTCTCCTCACAGTCCAGGATGGTTCCGTGGTGCACGAATCTGGAAGATGATTAAACAGCGGGACTCAGCTCGGTGGCAGAGCACTTGCCTGGCACGCTCGAGGCCCGGGCACAACTTCCCACACTGTGCCACACAGAAGGATGAAACACCAGAAGACAAAACCAAGGAAGCCCAAACAGCAACAAAACAGTCACGAGAAAGGTTTCCGACCCATCTGCTGGACGTCTGTGCTGTCAATCACTAACAAAGCCAATGTCTCCTCCCTTAGCAAGGCTTTCAACAATTCACATGGAGCACCGCTGTGTCAGTACAAATCCCAGCAGAGTTTGGGGTCACTGGACGTAGTAAGCATAAATGAAAACAGCACATAAATGAACCAGGACATCCACCCTCCTATTCCTATTTTAAGAGCAACAGCACCTCCTGGTGGCGTGGAGGAAGCATCCTCAGGGGAACTCAGCAGGAGAACCAGCAGCAACCCAGCATCTCAGGGCTGGGAGCAGCACTGCCGGGGTAACTTCTAAGGCAGTGGACAGACGAGGAGGAACCAAAGCCTGGCTCCTCTGCACCCAGGTTATGTAGTTAACCAGGGTCCCCACTTTCTGCAGGACTTCAGTCCTCCTGCAGGCAGGAACTTTGAGTTGTTTTTCTAAACCCCCCCGACCTGCCGAGATGGACCTCAAGCTCCCAGTCTGACTTTGGTGTGTTCGCTGCTTCCCTGGGCAAGTTCTTATGGGTGAACAAGCGAAGCATTATGAAGCGGACGATCAGGAGCCGCTGCTTCCCGTGGAGCAGCCTGGCTGCTGGATGCAGGGCTCACGGCACCCCCTGGGGCAGTTCTCTCCCCGAACTCACAGATGACCAAAGCCTGCCGCAAAAGTCCCGGGTTTCCCAAGGCATAGAGCATGGTCCACAGTGAATAACTCTGCCATGCCATCAAATTGACCGCAAGGAAAGTAGCTGAAAATATTCTGAGAGGAAAGTGAAATCAGAAGGTGTAAATTACCCAGCAACGTTAAAAAGAACATCGACTCTTTCCACTTCCTGGGCGAACTGATCGATTTGCTTCTTCTTTGTTACGTCAAGGACGCGGGTTTGGATACCTGAAGGACAACAACAGACTGTCACTTACCATCCAAAAAGGGTTTACCCTCCATGACGTTCGGCATACAGGCCTCGTTCACTTCCATTAAATCTACTAAAATGCAAAATCTCATTAAAATGTAAAAATCTTACAATCCTGAACCTAGGGCCTTCGCACTGAACTACATCTCTAGCACAGCCCCCAGCTCCATTTTTATTGTGAGGCAGGGTCTTGCTAGGTTGCCCCTGATGGTCTCAAATGTGGACTCCTCCTGCCTCAGCCTCCCAGACAGTTGTGATTATGTTTGTGCCACCACGCCCAGCTTTAAAATTCCACCTTGACACCCCCAATAACACATCCATTCCTTTCCCTCCTCTGTTCAGAGTTGAGTCATGAGGGTCTTTTGAGTAGTGACTTTACAGGGCGGTATAACCCACCACAGCGGCAGGGTGTGGGTGCGGTGTCCTGAGATCTGCGGGAGGGGGGTGAAGGAAGGGGAGCAGCTGTGGGGCAGGAGCTGTTCTACTTATAAGCTTTGCTTTTTTGTCTTTTCTGTTATTTTTTAGAAATAATTCTTAGTCAGAGGCTGGCCATGAGGGGCCCAGCATCGGGTCTGAGACGCACTCTGTACTAGTTACTGAAAAGTTCCTGATATTCCCTAACACAAGCAGTGTTTAGGTCTTTTAAAACTGTATATGGCTGGACGTGGGGACGCGTGGGTGTGGTTCCAGCACTCTGGGAGGCTGAGGAAGGACTGTAAGATCAAGCATGGCCTAGGCAACTTAGTGACTCAGTGAGCCCCTGTCTCAAAATGATAAAGGGGCTGGGGACGGAGCTCAGTGTGAGGGCCCTGGTTCAGTCCCCAGTACTGCAAATAAAATAAACACATATGGCTCATCAAGGGTTATTGTGGATATAGAGAGAAAAGGTTAATAAAGAAAACAAGGCTGAAATTCGGATTCAGGAAGACTTCTTCCCCTCCATGCTGTTCGGGAGCAGCTTGCCTTCCTTGCTGAAGCCCCGCTCCAGCTGTTCTGGCTCAGTCCCTGCCCAAAGGACCGGTCCTCCACCTGGAGACCTTGAGGGTGCCTGGGTCACCGAGCCATCTCTCAAGGGTTCCCCAGGACGGGGCCGGGGACCAGGCTGTCTTTGGGGCAGCTGCTCACCGCATCCGGCTAGCGGGCACCGAGGGAGGGAGAGCTTGGCCTGTAGGGTGTGCACTGGGGAAACACATGGGTCTGGAAGATGCCGGGTGAGAAAGCTGTGGTGTGGGTCAGGTCCGACCTTGCAGGGCTGTGATGAGTGAATTCTGAAGACAGCACAGTGGGGGCAGATCATGCAGATGAGCACTCTTGCCACACGCAGACACACAGACAGACACACACACACCGACACGGAGGGAACTACACGACGCGCGTTTGTGAACGACCCCGGCAGCAGTGGGATTGTTTATGCTGTGATGGGCAGTGCGGGTCGGGCTCAGTGGAAGAGGGCTCCCGTGGCATGGGAAGGTCCTGGCTTTGCTCCCCAGCACCAGAAACAGTGGGAATCAAACAGGAAGAAAGAACAAAGAGAGACCTGCTCACCAGGCCTGAGGCCCTGGCTACAATGCCCAGCACCAAAAAATAGCACAGACACCTTGAATATTCACAATCTTTATGTGTGAACTATGCCTCAGTACTCTGAAAAAAGAAATTAATGCCTGAAAGCTTAGTTTAAATAGAAATACTTACTATGAAAAAAGGTAAAATATTCTGTTCATAATTTTTAATATTGGCATGTTGAGACGATGATATTTTAAATATATTGGGTTATTGTATAAATATATGATCAAATATATGATCAAAACTAATTTCCACCTGTCTCTTTCTGCTTTTTTTTTTTTTGGTACTGGGGATTGAACTCGGGTCCTTGCACTTGCGCAGCAGGCGGTGAAACCACTGAGCTGAATCCCCGGGCTCTTTCTGCTTTTTAACATGCCTGCTAGGCAATCTGCAAACACACACGAGGCTCACATCACGTTCCTATTGGAGGAGGTGGGACAGAGAGAAAGGTGTCATTAATAGTTAACATCGCAGCCGTTCATTTTCACACGTAACTTTGCAGACAGCAACTGAATCTCTGAAGATATTGGATACCTAAAACACTGCAGGTCTGCCTCCCTTCGCCTCTGAAGTACACAGACTGTCAGTCTCTTCCCAGAACAGACTGACAGCAAAGGGCTGAGTCTGAGAGGCGGGGCAACCTGGGGCCAGGGCTCTGTGCTCAGCACCAGGGGCCCTGCTGCCGGACCCACGGACTCTGGCCTGGCCAATGCAGCCTTGCTTACCGGGGCACTCCTCCAGCTCCTGGAGTTTGGACTCATTGATATCTGTGGCGATGACTTTGGCGCCTTCTTTTGCAAACGCCTGTGGACGAGGAACACAGACTCTTTGTTTCCTGGGTGGAAGCACTCACAGGAATGAAAATCACTGGTTTCTCTTCTTTCAGCTTATTTTCATTGTTGTTTTCCCTATAAACTGGGTAGAATTTCAAACTATCCGGTCTCACCACCCACCCCATTGTTATTTTTATCATTCATCAGAACAATGCGACACACATTGTGCTTGTCATGTGACTTGGCCCTTTTAATATGGAACAAAAAGTGTTTCTCAAAAACTATAATTCTATTTTTAATCTCTTCCAAATACTGCTCGTCTATTACCACAGCCTATGCACCATTTCTGAGCAGGTAAATATACTCCAAATAAGGGAAAAGCAGCTGGGTGTTGTGGTGCATGCCTATAATTCCACTTTCTCAGGAGGCTGAGGCAGGAGTTCCATCCAGCTGGGAAATTTAGCAAGATGCTGTCTCAAAATGAAAAAGCAAAGGGCTGGGGGTGTAGCTCAGTGACAGAGTACTTACCTAGCATGTGCAAGGCCCTGGGTCCAATCCCAAGAACTGGAAACGAAATGAAAAGGAAAGAAAGAAGAGGAAAGGCAAGGAGAGACGGGGAGAGGAAAAGGGTAGTTTCTCCTCCTGGGCACAGCACAGATGCTGCCACCCTACCAGCTGCTGAGAGCATCCCAGCTCTGGGGGGACGACCGGGAGGGGACCGGGTGGCCTGATGATTACGACCCTGGAGCCCGGAGCCCGCATCAGTGATCTCAGAAAGCCGTGCAGCCCGCAGGCCCCCGCCGTGGGCTATTATGCTGCAGGGAAATGTGCTTCCCAATCTTGGGTTATTAGTGGGTCATAGCCTAAAGGAGACGTGTGCGTCCTTCATCTAGGTCGGCAGCAGTGCCTTCTTGTAACTTAGGACAACAGAAGCGCAAAAGCTAATTTCAAAAAGGAAAGGCAGGGTGTCCCTGGGGTGAGAGTGCCCTGGCTTCTGTCCCCAGTGCGGGGACAAAGGGGCAGCAGGAGAAGCTGAGGTGTCACGCGCACTGCGGCCCTGCCCAGCTGGGCGGGACAGGACTCACCAGGGCGGCTGCGCGGCCAATGCCCTGCGCGGCTGCGGTCAAGACGATGACTTTGCCGTCGAGTCTGCCCATGGGGACCTGTGGGTCAGGACAGGGCGCTTCTGTGGCTGTCACTTTAGCTCGGACGCCTGGCAGCCCCAAGACTGGGCCGGCCACTCCTCTGGGGGTGACGGTGCCCAGGCCAGGTCTCGCCCTCCTGGCTCCAGCGATCACAGGTCCCCGCCATGCCCGGCACACACTGCTGAGGCTCAGAGCCCCTTCCTGCTTCGGGGCGGCCTCTCCACGTCAGAGGTTTGCATTATCACCGCGTGTGCTTTTCCTTGTCCCTTGCAGAGATTCACGAACAAAAGGGGCCGGAAATCAGCTCATGTCCCGCAACCCCACTCCACAGACGAGGAAGCTGCACCTGCCCAGGTCCCAGGGCCACTCAGTGCCACAGGCAGAGCCAAGCCATGGCTTCCCGACTCCTCTGCTATGATAACAGCCCTGGTGGTGCTGTCGCTCCTCCGCTGCGGGTCACCAGGCAGTGGTGCCACTCTGACGAACATCGCCAGCGAGGTCTGAAAGGGCAGGCAGAGGAAACTCTGCCACCAGGCAGGACAGGAGTGATGGGGGTGTCACATGACCTTCCCAGGCTCCTTCTGCTCTGACCTCACCCCAAATCACAAAGTGGCTTGCCCTGGCCCAACGCATCGTTTCTAAATCCCAGACAGAAGCAAAGCCAGTCTTTCAGAGAGGCCTCACTTTCTACTCAAGAAGAGAGGCCTCAGGAGTCTCCGTCCAAATCTCATGGGCCCAGTCCACGCTCCCAGGGCACCTGTGGCGCAGGAGGCCCACACGGTGGAGAAGGGGTCTCTTTGCCCTAAGAGGGAGCAGGAGTACAGGGTGCACGCGCCCGGCACAGCCTCCCTGCGGGGCTGCCTGAGGGGGCGGCTCTCCTTCCTCTCTAAGGTGTCCCCGCTCTCCCTGGCCACCAAGGATTCCCCGCTGGGGACGCACAGGTCCTTCGGCAAGGCGACGAACCCTGACTCTAACCCTGAGCCTCACTGGAGAGGCCGCGCGTGGGAAGGCCACTCGGGTGCCCGGGACCCACTCTGGACAATGCGCTGAGCACAGCGTCCTCCGCCTCCTGAGCTCTGGACCTCAGCGATTCCCTTGGGAAAACAGGTGCAAACCGGCCGGAAACGGGAACGAATCAGGAACTCTTAGCAGCTCCGAGGTGAAGGCAGAGAACCTGGCTCTCTAACTCACTCCTGGGGCAAAAATGGTAAGTTTTAGTTAGCGGAGACACACACTGAATGTGTTCAGGATCGCATGAGCCACAAAGTAAAACGTCCACAAGGCAGGCCCTGTAAAATCCCCCTTTTCTTTGGCCACTTTGACAAAGTTAGGGGAGAGTTTGAACTCGTGAAGGCTTGTCGACAACTTGTCCTGGTCTAAGATTAAATCGGGGGTGGCACCGAGCACAGCAGCCCTGAAAATCAGACTCCCCTCCCCGGTCTGGAGCTCACCGTGGCACTTTAAGGAGACCTCGCCTTCGGGAGCTGCACGCGTCCTCCGAGTCCGCAGCAGAAACAAGGCGCAGCTCTTCGAGCTCAAGCAAGTCAGGTGCTCAGCGACGCATGCTGGGACTTGTAGTTCAAGATCCCGCTACGCTACTCGCCCGCTCGCTTTTCTCTAGTTTCCAAAAAAATCTCACCAGTTCACTTTGCGTGTGAGCTGCCACCTGCTGGCGGCGCGTGGAACTTCATGCCGAGGAGAAGCGGCTTGGAAGAGCAGCTTGCAGCTTGCTGCTTCCTGAGGATGTGCAACCTTCCTTCCTTTGTGCCCTTAAGTGGTGCTTGGGATGGTCAGGATTGGCTGGGAGGCGAAGGAACTCAGGCCACTAAAGATTCAGACCCTCGAGCCCTGCATCTAGGCCGTTCCAGGCAGGAACAGCCGCCGCTGTGGTGTCAGTGTAGAAGCCGGGTGTGTTCTAACTCCACCACACACTGCTGGCGGGATGCTCGCAGCTCGTCTACCCTGGGGCTAGGGAGGCGGAGCCAGAGGCCTGCAAGGAAGTGCATGCTGGGTAACAGCCGGGCCCCATGGACACGAGCGAAGGCTCCGAGCAGGACCAGGTCTTGGGAGCCACTGGGCGAGGCTGGCACATGTGCCTGGATTCTGTGCTGCCGCCTTGGGATTTTTTAGTTTATTTTATTCACTTTTTATTAGCGCGTGTTTGCAGTATGTCATGGTCATATCCTGGTGGGAGTTGGTACACGGCCATCACACACCTCGGTTCCTCTTCTGTCCCTGTCCCTCCCCTCCCTCCACCTCTCGGTTGCCTGTCCTCTTCAAGGCCCGCCCAGCTCCTCGCACCCCGATGCAGCCAGTTTGAGGTTGCTGCGAGGCCAGAGCAGAGCCCAGAAGGAACAGGGCCCTGGGCCCTGGGCCTGGGCTAACTCCACTGGACCTAACTGCAGTAAACAAGCTTCTGATGGCTGGTTTTCAGGTTTGTTCTGTTACTGGAGCGAAGTGATGCTCGGCACTCACTGTGGTTAGGAATTAGAGCTGGAGGCAGGAAGCCCGGGCGGGCGGGCGGGCCCCTCGTGTCCCCGCGGCTAGGTGAGCAAGTGCTCACTTCCACACCTCTCGGCTTTCTCATCTGTGAGGTGGCATCGTGAGCCAACACCTGACCCGTGCTGTCCATCGTGAACTGGGTGGCCCAGCAGCACTCGGGAGTCAGGTGGGAGTGGCACTGTGACAGGAAGTCCTGACAACTCGGCTGGGTGGAGAGATGCCTAGGGAATTGGTAAAGTGCATTTCCTCACTTCCGGGTGTGTCTGTGTGGCCAGTGAGAGGGGAGGACCCGCCCTGATTCTGGGTGGCACCATCCAGTGGACTCGCAGGCCAGATGGGGATGAAAGGGAAGGAGGAGGAAGTCGGCCTGCATTTGAAAAGTTCCATGCGCTGGACTCTGAATATGCAGCTTTAACCTCTTAAAGCTTCCGTTGCTGGTTTCCATGTTTCTTTGCAATCACTCCTCATGATGAAGACTCAGCTCATGAGCATCGAGGCGGCTTCTGAGGGAGATGCAGCAAGATGTCAGCAAGATGGCAGACGAGGAAGCCAGGCCCTCACCCCCACGAGTCATGGACAAACAGCCATGTTCAGACCCAAATCCCTTTCAAGTCCCCTCATGAGGACTCTGTGAATGAGTTAAGAAGTGACAGTGCCTCAGGTGAGTACAGAACAGAACAGCTCCACTGAGGTGGGCGGAGGAGCCGATTTGTCGGCACAGCTCAAAATCCGAGAAGCTGCTGCCCAGGCTGCAAGGGTGGAACTCATGTCATGTCCCAGCTTCCTGGAGGGCTGCTCAGAGTGCTGGCTTCTGCTCCCTGACAGAATGGTGCAGGTGGCCCGTCCGGCAGCTTCCTGCAGCAGCAGAGCCTACAGTGCTGTGGCACAGGCCAGTGAGGTTCAGCATAGTAACCAAAGGAGGAAGCACCTATGCTGCAGCTGCATCCTGGGATGGGAGGGAAGGGCTGGAGGGTGTTCTGGAGCTCCAAGTTCCCTAAGCTGCATGAGGGCTCCTGTGTCTCATCAAGATTGGAGAGCTAAAGGTGAAAGGCCTGGCTGGGATGCCTGTGAGCCACTGAGAAGAAAGGAGAGGGAGCAGCTAGCCATCACTGCAACAGGAAGCTGCAGTGCTGTAGACAGCACTGGAGAACAGAAGAAACTGGCAAACCTGTTGTTATGGCCCGTGCCTAGATGCTCCCCCCCCCCCCCCCCCCCAGCCAAAGCCTCATGCGCTCACAGGTGGGGCTTTTCGGAAGGAGCTGGATCTAGGGTGTGTGATTCTGGATCAAGGATGTGATGCTAGGATTAAGGCTGTCCCACCTTGGGTGTAAGTGCTACCCACCCCAAGGGTGGGGAGCCTGGATAGGATGTAAAGGACAGAAAGAGGGTTGCTGCTTGTCGCTTGCTGCTTCACTGCCTTCTGCCTGCCATGAACTGTTTCTCCTCTTCGATGCCCCTCTGCCGTGCCACCCTGCCTTAGAGCCAGGTGACTGTACAAGGACTGAAACCTCTACAAACTATGAGCTAAATAAACCTTTTCTCCTTTAACTTTGGCTGTCAGCCATTCTGTCTTAGTAATGAGAAAAATAATTCTCTAATTGGGAAATTACAGCACAGCCCTAAGAGGGTGCATACACCACCTGAAGGACTTTGGAAGCCCCTCGAATTTCTAATTGCCCTGACTTGTTAAGATCCCCTGTACAAAATCAGTTCACGAAGACTGAGAGAGGTGACAGTATCTTTGTTTTCACACTTTTCATTTGTTTTGAGACAGGGTCTCATGTGTTGTACAGCCTAGTCCTGAACTCCTGGATTGAAGTGGTCCTCCTGCCTCAGCTTTCTGAGTAGCTGGAATACAGGCATGTGCCACTGCACCGAGCTGGCGTTTTTTTTTTTTTTTTTTTTTGGTACCAGGGATTGAACTCGGGTCCTTGCACTTGCGCAGCAGGCGGCGAAACCACTGAGCTAAATCTCTGGCCCAGCTGGCTGTTTTTCATGCATAAAACTAAAGGGGGGAAATCACAAGGAACATGAAGAAATAGGGAAGCATCCTTGATCAAAGCACAAAGATAAATCTCCAGAAATGAATTCTGAAGAAATGGACATCTATGAGTTACCTAATAAAGAATTTAAAATAATCACTTTAAGGAAGCTTAGTAATAAGAGAACAGACAATTAAACCAGGGAAATAGTGGATAAAAATGAGAATATCGACACTGAAGAACTATAAAAAGAGCAAAATAGAAATTCTGAAACAAAAAAATATGAGTTGAAAAATTCATTACAGAGGTTTAACAGATTTTTGATCAAGTAGAAAAATTAGCAGACTTGAAGAAAGGGGAGCTGAAGTTACTGAATTGGAGAAGAAAAAAAGCAATGAAGAGTGAAGAAAGCTTAAGGGACTACAGGATGCCTTCAAGAGGACCAGTGTACATGCTGTAGGCAGTACAAAAGAAGAGATTTGAAGGAATTATGTATTTTTTCTTCAGTACTGAGAATTGAACCAAAGGCCTTAAACTGAGCTACACCCCAGCCATTTTTTTTATTCTTTGAGACAGGGTCATGCTAAGTTGCCCACACCAGTCTTGACCTTATAATTCTCCTGCCTCAGCCACCCAGAGTGCTGGAATTACAGGCATGCATAACCACACCTGGTTGTCATGGTTATTCCTGTCAACCTGATTTGTGTGATGTCTGAGATCAGAAAGCACACTTGTGGGTGTCTGTGTGTGCCACGGAGGGTGACCTTGGGGACAGTATCTGGTCCCTGGTCCCTTCCTAGGCCCTTTATGTGTGCTCTGCCTCCTTAGTTTTGTTAGTTGCACGCCTTTCTGCTGCACTATTTCTGCCTTGGCTGGCTGACCATGGACTGACACCCCTGAGATCATGAGCTGAAACAAACCTCTCCTTTAAAAGCAGTGCCAAGCGTTTCTCCCAGCGATGAGAAAGCTGTTAATACATAAACATTTTTGTGTCCTTGGACTAGGGCTTGAACTCAGGACCTTGTGCTTTTGAGGTGAGCACTCTGCCATGGATACAGCCCCACCTCTTTAAATTTTGATAAAGGGTGTTACTGAGTTGCCCAGGCAGGGCTCAAACTTTCAGTCCTCAGACTGCCAAGTAGCTGGAATGACAAGTGTGCACACCTGGCTTAATCATCCTCTCAACGGCCTTAGGGCAGTTTTCCTGTTCAGGTGAACTTTGCCACTACTTCGAGTTACTTTTTGTTCAGTGGAGGAGCAAACATCTGGAACCACACATGCAGCTCAGTTACGGTGTTTTGTTAGGATGGAGAGGAGAGAAGTCAGACTTCTGAGGGCCAGGTCTGAGGAGAAAAGGATACACAGGGATTGTTTCCCCTAGGTGTGAGTGAATTCCTATGGTAGCATGCTTAGGGAAAATATCCAGTCCACAGGCTTTAAAGTAATGCTTATCATGTAACCCATAATCTCTCCCTTCAAATAAAATGTCTTACCAAAGAAGAGCCAAGGTTGCCTTGATGACGCTTCTCCTTTGGATGACCTTGAGTATGTTTGTTTTAATTGGTGTTTCAGTCATGTGACAGAGCAATATGGTGGCACCTGGGTCCTCACTGTCCATTGGTCTCCAGAGGCCTAAGGAGAGCCACAGAAGAGGGGTACCAGACAAGAGTTTTGGCTGCCAAGGCAGCGGGTCACGAGGCATCAACACTGGCAAGTTCCAGCTTGTGTTGAGTACACCAGTTGACAGGTACTGGGACAAAATTTTGGTGTCAAAATGCATCAAGTACCCATGAGTTTCAGAGTAGCCGTGTACCCAGGCATGACTGTGTTAGGTGCTTCCTAGATCCATAGTTGTTAAACCGTTCCAGGGCTACAGACATCTCTGAGGATATGATATGCTGCTGCACCCTAGAAGGATCCTCACATTGCATCACAAGATCCGAGTAGTCCTGTGGATGCAAGACGCCCGTCCAAGTGTGCCATGTCTGTGGGACCTGGGTCAGAAGACTTCGGCAGGGACTCTGGTTCTGTCCTGTCTGACCCAAGTGGTAGTATATGCGTCTGTGAGTGTCTTCCAGCAGGAAGTGCAGCGTGCGGGGCACAGAGCCTGACAGAACCCAGCCTGCCCCAGAGCCTGAACAGGGGTGGGCGAGGGGCTGAGGGGAAAGCAGGGTTAAAACTCACGGGATGTCAGGGCTGGAAGTGAGAGGACGCAGCCCCTGCTTCACTTTATGAATTGAAATCCAGAATGTTGTGTATTTTCACAGCAACCTCCTGACCATCAGCAAGAGCAGAGGGCGAGTCCCACTGAGGAACCATTCATGGTGCAAGGAACTGACTCAGAATTACATGTTTATTCAGTGTGCAAGTGACTTAAAAAGGAGTTTAAAATTTTGTTCATGTCCAAGTCATATGTGAATAACAAAGCTGTGTACATTTTGTGCCTACACTGACAGGCTGAAATTACCCTCAGTAACTTTATTCTTTACAATATATAAATAAATAAAATAGGCCAAGATTTAAAAGCATCATATGCAAGAAGGTCTTGCTGTCATTCTCAATGATCCTGGTTCCTTCATCTTCCAATTTCAGCGGCCAAGTGAACACCCAGCTGAGCTTCTGCTGGACACTGACACCACTGTGAGGAGGACACGGTGAGCCCTGGTCCCCGGTGGGTGGGGCCTGCTGCCACAGGCCTACTGCATCCTGCACTCGGGTGCATCCCTGAGTGCAGCACTGGGCAGGAACTCGGGGTCCACGTTCTCTGTGCCCACAGCCTGCTCCTCTGAGAAAGCAAAGGAAAATCACGTGAGCCCTGTGAGGGACCTGCACGGAAGCGGGGGTCAGACATGAGGCAGAACTCAGGAAAGCCATGTAGCACCTTAGCTGGGCCTTTGAGGTTCATTCCCCATTCTGTCCTGAGACGCACTGGTCCCCACGAGGGGCTGCCCCTGTCCCCTCACCTGCTTGTCTGAGCGTGCACGCCTTGCCCTCCCTCAGGGAGGTTTCTGCCGTTCTCAGGATGGATCCAGCCCAGGCCCCTCAGCCCTCCAAATCGCCAGAGCTCACTGTGCTCTGAACACAGATGCTCTGCCTCACGGCAGCCGCTCCTTCAGGTGGGGAGTGGCCAGCTGCACCTCACCTAAGCTACCCCAATGCTCCAGGACCGACCCATGGGCACAGGCTCTACGGGCAGGAGTGTGGCAACGAGAGTCTAACACGAGACAGAGCAGGAACGCTCTGCTCCTGAGTGAGTGAGCAGGAGTCCAGCTCTCAGGGACAGTGACATAACATCATGCTGCAGCAAGTACTGGTGAGGACAGTAACTGCGAGGGATCTAATAACTGTCTGCTTATGAGCAGGAGGCCTGTGTCCCCAAGAAAGCAGCCTGTCTTCTAGCAATGCGGAGGGCTTCAGGGGCAGAGTGAAGACTTCCCCTGGGTAAAAGCGGCCACACCAAGCGCCGCACCCGGGGAAGCGGGCTTGCCATGGAGCCAGCAGCTGGCCAGGCACCAGGGTGGCTGTGGGCCGACGACTCAGGACAGCTGCCAGTGTCACCTGTATTCCAGGCAACTGGTGGTCTTACCTGGGCAAAGGCCTAGGCTCGAGTTGTCAAAGTAGTGAGCTGGACGCGGGGCTGGGAAGGATTTGGAACGGGGGTCAAAAAACCGCGACCTGGGTGAGTCCAGGGGTGCAGGGTCCTGCAGGTTCCGCTCCCTGCACTGGGCAGGGGCGCTGGGCCTCCGTGTGGTGCCGGTTCTGGGCGCCCGAACAGGTGACTTGGGCAAAGCCTCACAGCTTACTTCCTGGGGAGCCTCCCGCTTGCGGGCTCTCTCCTTCCAGGCCTTGAGCTCGCTGCAGAGCTGTTGGTTATTGCTTGAGTGCAAGGAAACAAAAGCTAGTCAGATGCACATCAGGAAGTCTGCTGCTCTATCACACTGACACTGCAGGCTCACGGTCTGGTTCTTATTACTTCTTTTGCTTTTTGAGACAGCTTGCAGTTCTGGACGGGTTAGGGTTTGAACTAGTGATCTTCCTGTCTCAGCCTCCTGAGGGCTGGGATTGCAGGTGTGCGCCACCATGCCCGGCCAGCCTAATGCTGTGTCTGTGTAAATCGAAGAGCTGAAGTAAAACTCTGTCATCATGGAATTTTGGAAAAACTTTAAAATGCAACATTAGGTTTTCACACGAATCAGCATCACCCAGGGAGGCTTATCTATGGCTATCGCGCTGCAAGCCCTCGCTAAGCAGCCTTCTGACTTGCTGGCGAGCCTTTATTAAAAGCGACTCTCTCAGCAGCCCAGTTCCTACCATCCTCCGGATCTACTCTGATGGCTTAGCCCGTGATCTGCGCCTCCCGCCCTGGGCTGCGTCCTCTCTCGTGCTTCTGAAGGTTCTGCTTTTGTTCAGAGCCCTCTCGGGGAGCGCTGTGCGTCTGTGAGATAATTTAAGGCCTACTTTCTCCAGAGGTCTCAGCAGCTTGCCAGCACTGGACTCTAATTTTCCCAGAAGAAGAAGCTGGACAGAGAACTCCATTCACAAACTCACAGTGAGAGGCTGCACTGCCGGCCCTCAGGGCTCTGCCTCCCACAGGTGGAGGGCTGACCACCACCCACCGAAGAGTCCTGTGCCCTCACCTCAGCAGCTCGCCCTTCTGCTGCACCAGCTGCTCGTTCTGCTGCTTCAGCTTCGCCAGCTCCTTCTCCAGCCGCAGGTACTCGCTCTTCAGGATGAGCGCTTTCGTGCTCTGCACAATGCCGCTACCCCCACCGCAGGTCAGGGGCTTCTGGGGAGGCTGCGGGTCACCAGGCTCCACAATCACTGTGAGCAAACAGCCCGGCCGGGGCGGTGACTTCACTCATCTTCTGGGTACTATGGCAACCGCACTCCACCCCTTCCCGGAAGTTACCCTGTTCTGAGGTCTCTGGAGCCTCCTCAGCTGACTCCACTGAATCCCTTTGGGGATGGCAGCCCCCAGCTGTGCTGCCCTCTGTGTCCCCTGGGGCTGGTGGGGACCATCCTGTGGGGGCACCCGAGGGCTCCACCTACACTTGCTGACCGGAGGGCACCCAGCAAGTGCCCCACACAGGGTGGAGACAGCGGACAGCCACTCTCAGAGCCTGGCACCACCCCACACGGGACAACTCAGGGTGGCCCCTGGGCAGCGACACTGGGCTGCTTTGCTTCCTGATGGCCCACTGCACACAAACCAGGTTCCATGCACAGAATTACTGGAAACATTATATACAATTACCTTCAGGCCGTGTGAATGAGGGGTCTAAGAAACATAAATCCACAACTCTGTGTTTAGACTTAGGCTTCAGCCTGTCATCTGGTCATGTCTATGAAATATTTCAGAATGTGGAAAAATCCTAAACCCTAAGCACCTCTGATAAAGGAATCCCAGCCTGCATAAACCTGACAGTCACCCAGGAATCAAGACTAATGTGCTGGCCCTGTGCAGTGGAGCGTCATCACCTCTCTTTCCCCACAGAGCCAAGAGCGCTGCCGTCCTACGAGGACACCCAGAAAGTTCAAGCTACGGACGGTGCTTGGCACCAGCTCAACGTTTACAGTGGGGAAGGATCTTCAGTAATAGGAAAACAGTAAAGATCTGGTAACAACACAAAGGTGAAATCCATAGTTTTCAAAACTACGCTGGGGAGGAAGACGGAAAGGATCTGAAAATGCCTGCTTTGTGTACTTACTTGAGGTGTCTTGGGCTTGCTGAGTTCTTCTCAGATTTTCTCTCAACAGCCGTATTACTTCTCTCTGATGGTCTACAGTGGCTTTTGCAGAAATAATTCTGACGAGAAGAATAGTGAAAATGTGTAAAAGCCCAGCAACTACTGTCGGCAGGCACTTCCTGCCCCGACGCGCTGTACGGACAGCACCACGAGCAGTGGGAGGCCAGCCTGAGAGCTGCTCGGAAATGTCAGCTCCTGCACACTCAGGAGGGCATCACACTGGAAGTATTCTGTTTGGTTGTAGGACAGTCCGGTTTTCTTAATAGCGAGAAACCAATGTTTAAAAACCTTGAAATTATTGTTTGCCCTCCCACCGTTGGGCTCATGAGGATACAGTAGTCCTTCCTCTGGAAGTACCACAGCAGGGCCCTGACTCAGAGGCAGAAAGAGCAGCTCTCACTGGACTGCGGACCTGTCAGAACCTCGATGTTGAACTTCTCAGCCTCCAGAACTATTTGTGTAGAACGCTGAGGAGCAGAGGCGCCCCCAGCACCAAGGAGGTGAACATTCTGGGCTGCCATACCACCGCCCACAGCACAAAGGGGCAGAGCAGCCCCCAATGCGACTGCCGAACCGCCACCCCCAGTGCAGAGGACGTGAACCTTCCTGGCCACCATACCACGATACCCAGCAGGTGCCAGCAGCAACCCCCGTTCAAATGAGAAGACACATAAACAAGTCTCAAAACCAGACTTCCAGGGCCGGGGATTTAGCTCGGTGGTTTAGCTGCCTGCCTCGCAAGGTCCTGAGTTCGATCCCAGGTACCAAAAATACCCAAACCAAACTTCCAGATCACCTAAAGCAACCCCAAAGGGAAACGAGATGGAACAATCTGATACTCAACCACCTGGACTCCCTGAACTGGCAACAAAAGAAGATCTAGAAAAAATGAAATCAGAAATAATTTCTCAGATAA